CAGTTTTTAAATTCAAGTGAAACATTTGTTGCTCTGGGCTACTTTCAGGAAAAAAAAAATCTTCATGCTTGTTCTTAGGCTGAATTTAAACCTTCAGAAGAACAAAGACTGACTAAATAGTGGCGCATGCTCTTTTCAGTTGTTTTACTCAAGAAATGAGTATGCCATTGTTAACGTGTAGATTTTATTTGTAAGCCACAGATTTGCCAAAATGCTATTCATTCCTAGTTACGTTAGAATGTATCTGAAATGTTGTGAACTCTTGCTTTGTGATAGTTATTCTGGTCATAAAAAGTAGCAGCTGAACACATTAAAATCATCAGAAGCACTGCTCCATACACTTGTTCTGTCCTTGGGTAGCTCATTTCCATATTTATGTTCTCTTTTAGTGGAATTTGGGTATTGATCACTTCCTTTGGGTAGGACAGGAGAGCTGTTGGCCTAGCTCTATCAAAGAGATTTCAGGATATTTGTTTTTATATGCTTTGTAAATGTGGGTAATATGTGACAAAAGTACTGTTTTAACTTAATTAACTGTTTCCTATTATTTCCATTAGGTTGTTAAAAGAGAAGACATTCAGCACTTCTTTGAAGAATTTCAGTCACGAAAAAGACGACGGACTAATAGGATGCAGTATTACTGTAGTTAGATTGAGAGGTTTTGAGGCTGAAAGGACAACTGGGAAAACAATATATCCATTGACAAACAAAAGCAGCATCGTTAATAGTTGGCTTTTCCTCAACATCCTGCTGTCCAAGAAACTGCCTCCAACTTTTTCCTTATTTTGTTTCCTATTTCCTTTATTTGTAGTGCACATCAATGTGTTCTGAACAGGTACATTGCATAGTGATTCATTTATATGGATTTCAATCTTGATCTACTTTGCGTTTTTTTGAAAGTTGGCCTCGATTCAAAAGGGGAGGATTGCTTGTTAAAAGAACTTTGTGCCACTGTTTATTCCTTTTAGCCTTTGACCTATTTTACTTGTAGTGCCTATAGCTGTACACCATACTGAAACATGGGAGTGGTCTGCCCAACCTGGTTTCTATACAACGTAGGAAACTTGCACTTCGTGCGTGTTGCAAACTGGGGTGTGTTGCTTTCCTGCTCTAAATGGTTCTGTATCATCTCTTCTGGTTGTAGTGATTCTAGCATACAGCCCCCCTCCCACAGTGGGTTTTCATTTATTACACACAGGGAGGCAAGATTCTGCAAGAGGGAAAGGAGGCATGTGTTATGGCCATCGGTTTTAATACCGTTGAATCAAACGGCATTCTAAAACTTGGGTCATACCATGTGAGCTAAAGGGCACTGTACCTTCACATGCTAACTTTATATATTGTGGAAGCATTCCTTAAGCATGTGAAAAACCAGAAATCATGGGTTGGTCTTGATGCAGCAGAATGTTGTATCTTTTTTTTTTTATTCAAAAACTGTTTCTAGAGATTGTACAGTGATGATCTACATGCAAAAATTTGTCCCATGAACTTTATCCTCTCACTAGATTGTGAACAGTATCTAGTAGGAGGTACTAAGTTACAAATTAAGTATTGGGGGTTTTGTTAAAGGAATTTTAATATGCTTTGGTTTTAAAAACTAGCCTAGTTTAAATTGTTCTGTTTCATAAACGTTCCTAAAATGTTGCAGCATCCTGGCATTTTGCTACAGTATAAAGTATGCTATCTTTTTATAATCACTGTGATAATCAAGGCGTACAAGATGTTTCATTGACTTAAGAAGAAGCCACAGTTAACTAAAACTAAACATCGCATTTCCATAAGTCATTTTGAGCTTAATGTCATTTTTAGTTTCTCTTTATCCACAAAACCCAAAACATCCTTTAAGAAGGTTCTAATATTTAACTCTCTCTTTATTTAGTTCGAGGATTTGCTTACCATGAGGTAACATTCTGCTCCCATATCAAGATTTCTTAGAAGAAAATTTAACTTTCATCATTCTCTGTTAATTCATTTTGACCACCTTATTTACAAAAGCCAGTTCTAGCACAAAGATTGGTTAATTTGTTTGTTTTATGCAAATATGACTAGTTGCTTTTAAATCTAACTCTGGGTATTGTACGTGCTTTTTCTGTAGCAACTGTTACGGGAGTTGTAACTGCATTTCTAAAATACCTAAAAATTAAATAACTGTTCAATCTCCACTGTCTCTTATTGGAATTGCTGCTATGCCATGTTTTCACTGATATCCAGCTCAGTGTATTGAAACGTGATGGTTACCTGTTTAGCCATATGACCAAGATGCATGTAAGAGTGAGTCAACCACTGTCGGGGCAAGTCGAGCCTTTCATCGATCTTTGCTTCCAGTCTTGACCCACTTGACTCTGGGCAGATGTGGAACAAGGTGCGTAGTCCCATCGCTGCTGGCATCTCACCCAGGAGCGTGGTTTGAGCAGGAAAAAAAAGCAGAACAACAGGATTATGTTTCTATTGTCTTGCAGTTCTCAGCATTTAATAGGCTAATGTACAGAAAAAGCTAGTCTGACCACAGGGTGCACAGAGGTAGCCACAGTTGGGGGGTTATTTCCAGCTCTGAATTCAAACCATCCTGAACTGAAACACTTAAGTTTTAGGAGGTGGTGTTTTTTTTGTTTTTTTTTTTTTTTTAAGTTTTTGTTCTCCCTCAAGTACTTACAAAACAAAACAACAAACTAAGGTCAAAGGGAGAATATAAGTAGTCTGCACAGGTTCTAGTCAGCTATGGTTCATCTTTCCATTGAACTAGAAAGTGGAGATCCTGTCTGCTAACTTCTATACAAGTTTCACGTTACAGTAGCAGTGCTTAAACTTCATCTAAAATGCATACTAAAACTGGTCTGACAAGTTTTCCTGAACTCCTTTCCTCAAAATCCTTACTCAAACAGAACTATCAGTTGGCTCTATGTAGAATACATACCATCTTTCTTTGGGACGTATAAACTGGCACAAGCTACTCCATATTGCCTTCCAGTATAGAATAAGTCATTCTTGTGACTTATTCTATACAGCATGTTGTCCTCAGGACAGCTGCTGGGTAAAAGATCATGTGCTTCTGTGAACATTTCCCCTGACCAACTCAACCACCACCTCTGAAACACAGGTGATCTGGGAGCAGTGCTGCTCAACAGGCCAAGACAGCACTCAAAATCAGGTTACCTGTAGTTCTTGGAAACACATTCTCCTTACTAGTATTTCCCAATCCCCCATCACCACAGTCCAACAGGAATAGGACATTCAGTTATTTTGTCATACAAAAAAGAGTTACTGCAAGCAGTTGCCATCACTGTGTGCTGGGAAGGTTGTGCACTCGGGGTACTGCCTCAGGTCCTGCTGACCCTGTCGCATGTTCAGCACCTGCGGACACTCTGTGCCATGCAGTGACAGCACAGTCCAAGCTATTGATGCATTAATAACTGCTTCCTACAGAACTGGCAGATGCAGGAAATATTTTAAACTAAAGCTGTGATTTCCACAAGAATTAGTTCCTGTGGCCACAATTCACTCCATAGGCTGTTCTTTCTTGGCATCAGCCTGTACTAAAGTAATGGAGCATCGTTTACCTGAAGTGATCAGCAAGTACTTGGACATAGCACCTAACCACCTACCTTTCAAACCTTCATGCAGTTACGCTTTCTTCCCAGAGGCTCTCCCCTAGGTGAGCAGGGATCTTATCTTCTCTGACATTAAGATGGAAGTATGCCACTGAAAAACAAAAAA